TCCCCAGGTCCTTCTCTGCAGGGCTGAATACAATGCTTTCATTCAGTTCTTATCTCTGGAAAAGAGCTTCCACAACTACACTAACAGCAAGTACTGATTTCTGCCTTCTACCTCTACACAGCTTGTCTTATGCAAGACACAGAAGTCTTTTATTCTATTTTAATTTCTGTCTCTAGAAAGTTTTCACATTGCCTGTGTACAGGTATTCTAGCACATGGTAGATTTTAATAATTACAACATTTGAGAGTTCTGGGTTATTTATCTTCTCTTCTGCACGTGAGGAACATTTTAAAAGAAGGACAATATACTTCTGTAACCCATATACTATGTAAACATAGAAATTTCATAGTACCTCTCATATAATCACATTTACTTGTAACTAACCATTTTTCTTTGATAGAAGCCTCACTGCCTCCTCTTTACTCATCTCCCAACTGATGGTGGTCAGTTTGTTGCCCCCCCGTGTGGCTGTGCCTTTAGGAATGGAGATTATGGGCAATTAGTTGCTGCCAGGCTAACAGAAGCATGTTTGATACTCCAGGCAGAAATTGAAAGTTGTCAGCAAAGTTTTATTTCATAAATAAGGATGCATTTTTAGAAAATAGTAGAACACATCATCTGCATTTCCTAAGGATATGCAGCTAAAACTAAGTGCTGCTTATAAGATTAACTGAAATGCCACAAAAACTGTGATCTAACGTATAATGGTGGAAAGAAAATGAGGCAGGATTTCTCATTCTGTGGAAATAATTTAAGTAAGAACAGTTTGAAATCACCTTTACCGTAAGTCTGCAGACCTTCCTTGTAACCAGAAACTGACCTGAAATGCTTGGTAGTGCTATGAAATATCTGGTATCCATAACCTAAAAAAAACCCTAAGAAGAATTTGAACTGTCTAGAAGAAAAGATGTGGGCAATGTCCCTTTGTGAGGACTGAAAAGCAAGGCTACAAACTAATCCCTTTGCAACATGCTGCTGCATAAAAGTATGCTCCCAGATACAGAAAATGCAAAAAAAAATTGCCTAAAAGAGAACATGAATTTATAAGAAGTTAAGACCATCTATCAATTCTAAAGCACCTTTGGCATGCATAGCTGATGGGAATATCCTTCAAATGTTCTTGAGAGAAAAGAAGTGCAATTGACAGCTGTAGTTTTGGTGGTTAGACACAAATCTGTCAGCTTTTTTTCCCTTGAAAAGAAAAAGCAATGGAAAAAACAAACAAACAAAACACAAAGAGGACAGCTGAATGAATGGAAATTACATTCACTGGCTTGCTCACAAAGCAAAAGGAGCATTCTGAGAACTTCATTTTCTCAGCAATTCCCCATCCATGTTCTTTCATTCCCTAGAGAGCTGACTGTTATTCCTGAGCTTCAAGACAGTATTGTGTGTCATGTTCTGCATGCGTTTGTAAGAGAAAAGCAGGAAGGCTGAGGTTCCCAGAGCTATTATAAAGAGTATTTTGTTGGTCAAATAGAGCTGTTTATATTTTCATCTGACTGACACAGCTCAGTTTGTGCTGATAAACGTTAAATTGTCTTCATATGCACTGAAATCCTTCTGAATGACCACAGAAAACCTGTTTGGAACCTACTGAGCAAAATACAAGTGGCTAAAGGGCAAAATTAGGAAAAAAGCTGGGATGTTTTCTTTTAAGGAAATGGAAAAACCTTTGTTAAGAAATCTGTGAACAAAGTGGGGACACCAACCAATAACTTGTTTCTCTGCAGCCGCACAGCAGGCTGCTGCCTGGCACATCTGTTGCCAGGTCTCCTTCATATACATTCAAAAGTAATTCGGGTCACTGGCTAAAGACTCCACCAACTTCATGTCTGGGTGATTCCAAACCCCAAAATGCCCTATATCATACACCTGGCTGATAAAAAAAAAATAAAATAAAATAAAAAATCATGTTTTTCCCACCAATTTTCATTTTTCTGATGACAATGCTGTTATTTGATCACTGCTGCAGGGACTGGGAAGGCTTCAGATTTCCTGCTCCTTCCAGACTATGATGGTAAGGAAGGTCATCCCGGCTGTCTCCAGGGCAAGGAAGTGCTGCTGAGTTGAGGGGAGGCAGGTGCCTTTTCTTCTTCCATGACATCAGATCTGGATGCACAATAGATTTCCCACCTCCTCACTGACAGCAATCCAAAGGGGCAGGGACTCCTGCACTGCACAGGAGTTACGCAGTTAGGACGGGAAAAAAATCTGTACTTATAAACACAGCTTTATGTTTTGAATATTAAAAAAAAATAAATCCCATTACCCTACGTGCAGACATGAGACACTGCAGGAGCACTGTGGGAGGTACTCTGAAAAACACAGCCCTGTCTATTTTCCTTGAGGGAGATTGGCCAAGAAAGGAGTCAAGAGCCATTTAAATGTCTGCATGTGACTTTGAAGGTGGCCTTCAGGGAGGTACTGACTAAAAGCCAGCAGACTCTTTAATAAATATGAAGGAGAAAGAAAAAAAAGGTATTTTATATGGTGACAGTCTCTGGGAGCCAGGGCGTAGTGCAGGGGAAACACCGTAGCCCTTGTTGAAGTGTTTGTTGAGCTTTTCCTTGCCCTAGCTGTGATTTTCTGTTTTTTTCTGGAGCCAAGTTGGCTGTGTTGCCCTTGCCTGTTCTCATCCATTATCACCCTGCCTTGCTGCAGCAACAACACTGGCTACATGTAGGGCCACATTTCTATATTTGCTCACAGGTTTTGTTCTAATACTGAAAATGAAAAGCAGCATAAGAAAAGTAAACCACCAAATCCTCCCAAGTTCAGATTTTCAATGGCAGTGGGAATGTTTAGTTCCTCTGCTCCTATAGCAGACTACGGTAAATCACGTTACAGAATTTACAACTTTACTTCACACACATAAGTCAGCAATGAGAACCGCGTCTCAGCAATATCTGTTTCTATAGACAGCAGAATACTTTACATCTGTTCCACTCCAGCTTGATAATTAGGTCTCTTAAAGCTGGGTGAAAGATACAGAAACAAAGGGTTTGTCCTTTTTGGAAAGTTACACCCAGAGCCCCTAGGAAAGAGGCTAAGTTTGAAACTTTCAGAGACAATGTTGTTCCTTAGTTCACTGAACACACAGAGTGGTTATCCAAGGAGAAGACTGTTTTTAAGAGTAAATATTTGCTGTATGCTGATTTTAGTGTATCAAATTTTTGTTCCTTGTAGTGTTTCTGTGTTTTAATCTCTGCCTTGATTAAAACAAACATATAGATCAATTGTATAGATACATTATGTGGACACCTACTTTGTCCTGTCTTCCTATATTGTTTTCACTGCTTTTGAAATTGTTAGAATGGGGCAGCACAACCAGCCATGACAGACATGAAATATAAGCAGCTTGAATGTTATTTGAATTAATAATTTTTTTTAAGATCAAATCACTGTGCTGCAGTTTGCAGCTTTTGTGGCGTACGAATACTGTGTGAGGCAGCAATTAATTTCCATCTCCATGAAGATTGCAGAATTAATTCTGATAGAAAAAGAAGATCTACAAAAATAATTCTGAATGAAGAAACATAACGTTCAGACTATACCTCTACTGATAATGCAAAGCTAGGCTCATAGTGTTCAATGTTTTCTTATGAACTGACAAAGGTTGTGGTTTTTTATAAATTACTATCAGTGGATAAGGCATTTCACTTACTTTCAAGTTTAAACAAAATGGCTTTTGCAAGCTTATGAACTCATTAAAATTCTTGAAGTCTGCAAAGCCTAAGTAACAATGATTTTCCCTTGCAGGATTGGAGGTCTGCATTTTCTCCCATGTGCAGCCCTTTGCGTGATGGAAGGGTGTTACAGAGGGCCAAATATGTCTCCCTTAATCATCATCATTCCACCAGCCTGATGTAAAGCTCATTGAAGTCATTAGAAATCATCAAATCCAGATTTCTTACAATAATCAGTTTTGCACAGTGTATCTGTAAGCTATCTAGAATCAAATTGCATTGGTAGTAATCTAAAAACATTTGCTGATTTATTGAAACAGTTTCAGATGTGGTTACTGCTGCCCCTGGCAGTGTTCAAGAGGCGTCTGGATGATGTGCTGCGTGATATGGTTTAGTGCTAGTGGTGGCAATGGTGATGAGGAGATGGTTGGACTAGATGATCTTATAGGTCATTTCCAACCTTGTCATTCTACGATTCCATGATACTGATAGGTACCTACCTGAGGTTACAGGTTTCAGGTGCTTTTTGCACTGGCATTGATGTACACATCAAGATGAAATTTTGCTTACTTGCTCCATTTAGAATACCCAGGCACAGAAACAAATGGGAAAATTCTAAAAATTGTGCTTATTTGCTGCAAGATTTCTGTATTGTAAACGAAACTGTATGTTGTACCCTACCTACAAGAGATTTTACTCTCAGCTGGGAGTTCTCCCAGAACCCAATGCACCGTTTATGTCATGGGATGTGATGGAAGCTCTGTGACACTGCACTCAGAGGTGTCACTGAGAAAGCTGGACACCAATATTGAGAGTACCAAGAGGTCAATGCCACAGAAAGGATAAAGGGTTAAGGATCTCAACCTTAAAGACATTTTTCTACTGGTTATTCCAATTGAATCTTCCCATCTTTAGCTGTAGATGATCAAGAGTTTTAGGCAGTATGACAGCAGAATGAACATCAGAGAAAATAAACATAACTATAGCAGAAAATGCTTTCATATTTGACCTCTTACGATAACTGCAACTTCCAGCTCCATCAGCACCAGTTTGTGTACAACCCAGATGTGTGATCAAGACTTTGCTGTGTTCGATGCTACACAACACTAAATGATAAAGATACTTTTTGTCAGCTCCTTCACACAGGAGCCAGCTTATATCAGCAGCACGGCATGGATTGTTGCATTTATTTATTTATTTATTATGGGATGGAGGAAATAGAGGAATTTGAAATATTTTTTTGAAGGAAGACAGTGAATTCATTATTTAAGTGCAGTACCTGTTGTGTGTGAAAAAAATGGATAAAACTAATTTTCAGAAGTTTGGGTAATCTTTAATGCAATATTTCATCGCTAATGTCATTACAGATAGACATAACTGAGACCTAACAGTCCATAAAGCCTGGAATTTTGCTTTCATGATTGAGCTAGAGCGGTCTGAAGCTCGGCTGGTGAGACAGTGGTTAATCTGGATTTAAATATACCAACTCACAACAGTGTTACATCAAACTAGTTCTATTTAAACTGCTAATGTAGACATACCAAATATCATTAACTTAAGAAACTCTGTTTCTCTTCACCTCACAAATGTGCTCTATGACTCTAGGATAGTTACATTACATACCCCAATCATTGTGTGTTATCTAGATTCATTCAGAATATGATTTACAGTGGAGTGAAAAATCAGTTACATTCTTCATTGTAGTTTAATAGCAGTCTCTGAATTTGTTGGACAGACCTAGATGCCTCTGCACTGCTGAATGAAGTACAATTCCATATTAAAGATGGTGCAATGACTTAACCAAAGACTCAAACCTGGATTTTCACCTTGGTCCCAGATCTTGACTTTTTTTTTTTTTAATTGTCTTCTAAAACTTCTTTTAAGGATACATATTCAGTCTAGAATTAATTATAAATTGAAACACTCTTAACATGTTTCTTCAAAACTGCCCTACTGAACCTATAAATCAGACAAATGGTCAATCACATGCTGTTATTCACACCTGTATTTAGCAGCATTTCCAGTGAAGAAAATCAGCTCAAAATGCAAGTAATTCTGTAATAGCAGGATCTGGGAATTTCCACTGCCTTGCTCCACTTACCAGCACACAGCATTAATTTGTGTAGAGTGCAGTCTGAGGTAGAGATTCTGTGTCCATAAAGTCACTGCAGAAGGGAACATTGATTATTTGTTGCATGTCACTACTAACTTTGTGCTCTAGTCTCAGGTTTAACTCTTTAAAAATAAACACAAATATCTTGTTATTGCCTGGCAGTCTACTCTGTAAATACAGATAGTAAATTGTAAATACAGATAGTAAACTGCAAATACAGATAGATATCAAGACAAAACCCTTCAGGATAGAGCATTTCTTTTACCTTTTCTTGTTCTCTAAGATTTCTAAAGGGTAAAGAATGCACAGATCAATTGCTCTAATTTCACTTCAGCTCTTACTAGCATAATTCCACTTACTAACATGAGTGGAAAAGGCAGTGGATAATCATAGAAGACATTTCCATTACATGTAGACTTTGTGTCAGTCTAAATGTTTTTTAAGTACACGGCAGTATCCATGTGGATTAATAGATGAGAAAAAGCAATTCAGAACATTCCAGAGCATACAAGCATGAGATAACCTTAACTTCACTGATAAACACATGGGAAAAAACACAAACATTCCTCCCAAAGTGTTTCACTTTCCAATTCTATTCTAGGAACATTTTCTATACAGTAGACGATTCTGGGTCTACTACGAAAAAATATGTTCTTGTTACAGTTTTTGTCGTTGTTGTTGTTTTTAAAACCATTAAAATATTATCTATTTAGAAAATCTGGCTTAGTAACGACACATTACACATGTTCATGCTACAAGCATTGGGTTGTTGGGGTTTTTTTGTCCATTCATTAACATTAAAATATTCTGCTTTGAAATTTTGGCTTAGCAAGATGACTTAAATAACTTTAGTTAATTTTTTTATTCAGTTTATACAAAACACTTGACTGAAGGAACAGAAATGTGAAAGAAAAGAAAAGAAAAGAAAAGAAAAGAAAAGAAAAGAAAAGAAAAGAAAAGAAAAGAAAAGAAAAGAAAAGAAAAGAAAAGAAAAGAAAAGAAAAGAAAAGAAAAGAAAAGAAAAGAAAAGAAAAGAAAAGAAAAGAAAAGAAAAGAAAAGAAAAGAAAAGAAAAGAAAAGAAAAGAAATTAGCTGTGCATGTGTCTTTTCTTGATGAGGTGCCGTAGTTACATTTCCCTCATATTTACTCAGGTAAAAGTTAAATCATTTTGATTTTCTTCCTTCCAAATACTGGCACTTTTTAAACAGAAATTCAGTTGATTTCAGTCTCAAATGTTGGCAAAAATGTCTTTAGCTGTAAGATCTCAGAGACAGATTCCTGTCTTTCCTGGTAAAAGTCAAGTCCAGTGAGCAGCTCCACATCCCGAACACGAGCGGAATGGGCCTGAACTCTTTCTTCAACCCATTCAGAAGGCGACCTGTTATCCTGCCAAAGCAAACAAGAACAACGTGCAAGCACTGGTCATTGTCTAGCAAAACCACCAAACAAGAGAGTGGCTTTTAAATGACTTCAGTTTGTAGAACTTTTTTGGGGGGGATTTCTTAGACATCCTTGCAGCCTTTCATTTAAATAACCAAATGGATGTCCCAGAATCTCATCTCCAGAGTAGCACGGAGTTAAAACTATGCTAAAATGGCAAGTAGGATTTTCAACTACTTTAACTGCTTTCTGCCTAATTTTTTATATATGTAGAACAAAGGACTGAAGAAATTCCTCTAACTACTTTGAAAAGAGAAACACTTTAAGACCACTAATACCTCTGGAGTAAGTTTGTCTTGTAGTCTTCCATAAAGTTTTCTCATCAAACGACTGGCTATGCTGCTGTTGTTAGCTCTTCTTACTCCCCTCGCAGGTGACAATATTTCCAAGTTTTCTAATCAAGCCCTCATTTCTTCAAACAACTCTTATGTTTCCTGCTACCTTTTCTGGAGCTTCATCCCTAGCTATCAATTCATTCTCGGCTCATGGGAATAAATCAGTTAAATATTCAGACATCTAAAGATTTTCCAGATAATTGTTCAGAATTGCACAGAAAATCAGTTCACAAAGCTCATTTGCACACAGAAATAAAAAACTATACTTACAGCGCAGCTTTCAGTATTGTCAGGTCGATGAGGAATGATGAAGGACAAAGCATCCAAGGAGCCTGCACAGTTCAGTGGAGTATAGGATGTGTTCTTGCAGCTGGTCAGAATCACAAAGTAATGGGTTGGGACAGGGATTTGTGTGTTGTTTACATGCCTACAAAATAAACACTAGTTAAGAAATTTATCTGGATATCAACTATAAAAACCATTGATGCTGCTAGTATTTTATAAAACCCATCTTAGCATAGATCTTCCAGTATTTTATCACTTTTTTTTTTTTTTTATTTAAATTAACACCTGAAAGGACTCACAGTTTGGTATTTGTTTCATGAACAGCCAAACATGCATGGATTAGTCTTTTTGCCACAAGCACTGTTTTCAATGTGAAAATGACAGAATTAGCTCAGCAGTCTATTTTGCCAAAGTCAGAGATCTCTGCATCTGGATGGTGCTTGATAAGGATGTCACATGTGCCCTTCATTACATTAAGAATTTTACCACACTAAACTAAACGGAAGAGAGAAAAGATGAGCCTCAGGTTCTTGTCAGCAATCAATGCCAGAATGATGACTTGTGGAATGATGACATAGCTACCAGTTTAGGATTCCTAATTCAGAACTTATTTATTCAATTTGTTGGTTGTTCTGTTGACATGGCCACTTTTGTGTATAAACTTTTGAGGAGCTTCCTGAGTTTGCTGCATTTCTTCAAGATTTAACCAAACACCATCAGTGAAACCATTATTCTGCTTAGTATGACTGACTAACTTGCTGAATAAAATATGCTTGTTCAAAACTGTAGACAAAATTATGTGGTTGACTGGGTATTACAGCTTTCTGCTTGGAAGGAAGTTCCAGTCTCTCCTCCCTTGCAACCTCCTACTTCGTGGCAGAGTTTGAGATTTTCCCATTCTCAAACCATTTTTGACAGATGTGGTATTAAGTCTAGCCTTGAATAAAACATTTCCAATGACAGATTCAGCAGTGCAGATTTCCCAGCAGTTGTCTACTGCTTACGAGTTCTTACTGTCAAAAGATATATTCCCTATATTTGGCACAATTCAAATTGTTTGCTCTTATTCGTTTTGTTTGTTTGTTTGTTTTGTTTTTCCTCCTCCTGTCACCATTCACTAGCATAAATATTTGCTCTTAGTATTTCTACTTCACAGAATTCTGCTTTACATAAGTCTTCCTTTAGTCCTATTTCTACACACTTTTGAATTTTAAAATGTATTTTGTTATGCTACCAAAGTTCATTAAAAGCTATCTAGAACTTGTTGGACCTCCAACTGCGTAAGCTATGTAAAAATACCACTCAGGAATATTATGCGTTACTTGCTCAGTGATATGATTCAGTGAATGCATCCAAGACACAAAACTGATCTTTGGTAAAACACAGTTTGAGAAAACTGGGAGAAATTACAAACAGCTGAGACAGTACAGCATAAAAGCAAGACAATTGTAGACGCGTCTTCTGTGTATTTACATATTCTCCCAGTATTTGTGCTAGAGAGGCCAAAAAATGTAGGCATTAACTTGGGAAGCAAATATTGGCCCATGGAATTTCAGTTTCTATAGTATTACACCTGCTTGCAAGGTAATTTGCTATTACTGCATGAGTAATAGTGGAATTATCATTATAAAGGGAAGATTCAATTCTCCTTGATACTTGCTTTTTTGTTCTTCATGAAAATATTTTGTTTGTGTACAGCAGGAAATAACTCATCATTTGAATTTTCCATGTACTTACTGTGTAATTTCATCAAGAGTATCAAAATGGCCATCATAATTGTAATCAAACACTGGTCCACTGATAACATTTACTCCATTCCTTTCTCTAGCATACTTCAGAAGAAGTTCATCATGGAAATAGTCCCATATGTCTGCAAATGAAAGAAAATATAAGCATATTTAATTTAAAATCAGTTACTTCACCAATAAAAAAAAAAAGAAGAAAAAAAGGAACACTGTGCCTTTTTGTTACTTACCTGTAACACAATAAAATTTAAACTAAAATGCCTGTAAAAACAAATCTTCACACACAGTTTGGATTTCATTAGAAAGTATGGACTGTGCTCTCTCACCTTTTAAAGAGTTATGGTAAACACTATCACACCTGTGCAAGCTCCTGCACTACCATAGCTAATGCATTTGATCTGAAGACAGAGATGCAATTCTGAAGCTGAGAGGCCATTTATTTCTGGCCTATCTGCTAGCACCCACAACTGTCAATTGATAGAATCCAAGATAATGACTTTGAGTATGAAATATTTACCACCTGAGGGCTAGTGTAACTCTACAGCACTCACATAAAATATCACTGGCAATTCAGCTTATTTGAGCATGTTATTTGAGCAAATACAACTTGTATATTCTAAGCTAATGAAACTGAATAGTTATGAAGGCAAAAAAAAAAACAAACAAACATGAGTTCGGAGGGCTGGTAGGTTAACCTTATTGATTTATCTCTTGTTTTAGTCTAAAGTAAATTGTTTACAAACTTGTCTTCCCTTAAGACATTGCAAAAGGAAAGAAAAGGTGTCATTTTCCTTCATCTTGAGCCTTTCACCAATAGGATCTTGTCATATGTATTCCACAGCTAGCATTCCATGTCATGACATGTAGGAAATAAGAGAAAATTCAAAAGCAAATAGGTATACCTAAGTAAAGACCAGACAGGATTATAAACATTAAAAAACAAACAAACAAAACAAAAACAAAAACAAAATAGTTTACATAAGTGCATTTAAAATATTATAAATCTGATTTTTAAAGCTTTGTATACATTTGCATGAGACCTGGATATACTGAAGGTTACAAATTAATGCTTTTAAGTCCTTGTCACAGCTATTCAAAATCCAGAGCTACATTTACAGGCAATTAATCAAATTTAATCAAAATCTTGGATCCTACCTTTAAAAGCTCTATACATGGGAACAATGTTGCTGGTGAGTAAGGCATCATATTGTTCAAGTGCAGATGAATTGAAATCTATGTAAAAGAGCAAAGTGTACATTAATGAGATACTAGACAAAGACAAATCTGATAGATATCACTATAAGTTGCAGGTACGTGTCGTTCAATCATTAAACATTTCATAACATTTACAATTCCTTCTATTCTGAAGAAAACAGAACATTTCCTGTTTAATGCAGGGGAGTTGGATTAGGTGACCTTGGGGCTTCCTTCCAACTCAAATGATTCTATGACACTAAGTATGTGAAACTATATACAAATACATTTATGTCTGAAGCATATTGTGTTAGACTTCCATCATAGTTATGACAAACACCAATGACAGTTAAACAAGAAATTTTCTTACCCCAAGAAATTTACAAGAAATTTAATACTCCACAGAATAATTTTAGTTTATTTGCTCACAGAGTAGGAACCATTAGAGCACAATATCCCTGTATTTATTGCTATTATAACTTCCAAGCTATTCTACTCTCATGAGATTAATTTCCTTTTAATTTCCTTTACCTAGGAAGTTAGTTCCCCAGAAAAAAAGTATGTTCTGAAATACAACAAATGGTGCAGTACTTTTGTGATATGCTGGCAAAGGTTCTGTGCAAGGACTATCTGATTTCTATCAATTTGTAATTAAGTAGACATCTGAGCATGGTTGTATAATCCTTCTGCATATTTAGTACCTTCAAATTTTTTACATAGTCTATTCAATGTAATCATTAACAAATTTGGCAATAGGAAAGGAATATTCACATAGGGTAAGACAGACAGCTTTTCATTCCACCCATTTACACCTTTCAAACCTGTTATCACAATCAAGCTGTTAAAAAAAAAATAAAAAAAAAAACCTAAAAGCTCTAAGCCAAAAATATTTAGATGCAAGGAGCTGTTGTCTAGCTTTTGGTGAGTCTACAAACACTGGAAACATTTTTTCTGCCCAACATGCTGATCCAAAGAAGTTTGCTTTGGTGTTTGCTTATATGTTTAAACATAAACCCACATCCAGCTGATTAAGACTTTCTAAACTCCAGCTATAAAAAGAACAGTGCTCACTGGGAGGGTAGAGGAAACCATAGGTCAAGTCCAGCCCTTCTGGGTAGTTGGAACAATTTTGGCTATGAGCAACGGGGATTCTAACATCAGCCCGCAGACAGTCTGAAACAGTGGGAGGAAGAGAAGATGTGCTTTCCTGTGAAAAGGGAAAAAAAGAAAAAGTATTACACCCACGGTTGTGGTCAACATAATGCTCCGTATGTTTTTAACTCTCTCAAATGGCCTTCATTGAATCTTCTGTTTTCAGAATGAATCAGGTCAGGGTAAGCAATGGATGCTGATGTTCTCTGCCTTGTGTTTTTCCTCTTTTTCTGTTTTTAGGTAATTCCCTAAAATCTTCACACGGCATGTAAAACTATAGCAGAAGGAGTAAAGTTTCACCTTAGGCAAAAACAAATGACGACTTTGGGTCATTCATCCCTTTTATGGAAATACAAACTTGATATCACATCCCGCTGAGAAGCAGTGAATATATAAAGATGACAATATCACCACATTGTAGCATCTGAAAACTCTGTTTTGATAATAAGAATCTGAGTTTCTAAAGAGTTAAATAAAACCAGAGTAAATTTTACTGACTAGCTTCAGTAATTTCCACTGAGATACGTTAACATACACACAACCTAAGAATTGGTAAAAAGTGATGCTGATCAATGTAACTGTTTCTAAAACATTATATTTTACAATAGCATCATATAAAATATCAAAGCATGTGTTCCGTATATAACTGTGTTTTCTTTTTCCATACTCAATTACCTGCTATTTAATTTCTTCGCATTTTTACAGAAGTTAAACACTCCGATTGCATTTTAGAACATTGCCCATTTTGATTGGTTCAAATTAAAAAAGAAAAAAAAAAAAAAGGAAAGACCCTCTTGTGCCTCTTTGTACTCCTTGATTTAAATTTATTCTTTCGTATTCTTTTTATAGGAAACCTGCATCATTGCATTAGTCTGCTTTTTGGAAATAAAGGCCTCAGTCGCATGATATCCATCAGTCTTTAACCAGAATTCCTCATGAATGAACATTTTCAATCCACCTTATTTACACATTTATGAATTATACTAATATCTGATAACCTACAGGATTAGTCACAGTGTACGCAGTCCATAGTGGCATCCAGATATCATGACTGTATCCACTCACATACTGATGATGGGGAAGGAGGCAGTAGGTGCTTTCTTTCTGAAGAACTTGAGGTCTCCCATATGGCAAATTATATAAAGTTGCATTCTTTACTATAATTAAAAAAATATTTATTCATTCTCCTATAAAATTTCTGATGGAATCAAGGTTTAAGAAAGCAGAGAAAAGAGACAAAGAAAAATGTAAATTAAAGCACTAATAAATACAAATAGAAGTGACAATATACACAAGTACATACTTTTAATATCTTAGCTCAGTGGAAAGAAGTGTATAAAATAGTTTTCATTCAAAGAAGTATGACATCAGACATTCAAATTCTCATTTCTTTGTAATTTCATATATAAAACTTTGGAACTCATCAGTGAAGTGAGAACTATATCATATTGGGCTGGGAAGTTCTGTAATGCCCCATAGAATTTCCAGAAGCACCACAAAATAAAATAATAATAATAATAATAAGAAGAAGAAGAAGAAGAAGAAGAAGAAGAAAAAGAAGAAGTGAGTTTTCACCAAAGAAAAGCTTGGGGTAGCAAAGTGGCAAAAAACTAGTTATGGCAATACAGTCCAGAAGTACACAAGCTTTCCACTGAAACCTGTATAATTTTTCCCAGTATTTTAATTGGATTCAGATTTAGTTCTTCCACACAAATGTTACTACAAAAGCATCAATTATTATCTTTTATAGAAATGCAAAGAAACAAGGAAAAAAAGTTAAGTTTCCGACTTGGCTCTCCTATTTCACATTAAATTGTAGTTAACATTGCCAAAGTTTCAACTGAAACCAATAAAATGCAATTTAAAATAGTCATAAATTTAAAAATGTTACTGCCCTTTTCATCTCTAACTACTTACTTTCATCTGTGGTGAGATTTAACCTCTCGTTAATTACTGAAGCATTTGTCACCTGTAAAATATTATAGAATCCTTTAGAATGATTCTGCTGTTTACAAAATTAAAAAAGAATACACTTGCCAAACATGATTAAAATATTCCCAAACTCCTACTTACACCCTGGCATGTGCATTCCAGTTCATCTACAGGAGTCAGATGGGAAACCGGACATGAAACAGGAGATGACTCTTCTTTTGCATATGAAGGGCTGTAAAAAGGTTTTTTTAGCAGATGATTTAAGCTACCATGTGTGCCATTGTTTGGTGCTGGTGTAATTTGCAGCAGATCTGTTGGAAAATTTGAAAATTTGAAACAAATTTAAAGCTATTTTAAAGCTAAAATGATAGTTTTAACGTGGCAATCTGCAATTCAATCCATTTTCTATGCATTTCTTCTAAATATAGAAAAAAATAGCCTATTCAATTATTGAAAGTATTGAGTTAATTACTATCATCATGCAATTTTCTAGATAAAAAGCTTTACTGGTATTCCCACTGCATCAATATATCTGAATACTACTCACACAATTTTATACATTGCCGTAACATTCGTAAGGTTCTCCAATTTCATGCAGACTACAAACTTGTTTGCAAATCATCACATTATGAAGCATATTAGCTTAGTGCATTTTTCTGTGATCCTTTAATCCATATTTTCTGAGGCTTATACTTCCTAACTGCTCACTGCCAGGGCTGCAATCATCCACCTCAAGATACAAGAGTTGTAACCCTCTGCTAAGGTTCTTAGCAGAAAATGGTTCCACAGGTACCATTTCAACAGCAAGCCCAAGTGGCAGGAGCACATCTCTCTGGTTCTTTAGTGGACTCCTGCAATCAGGACAACATCCAAAGCAGAACAAGTTCTGGTAGTGAATGTTTCAGCATAGAGAATGCAAATTGTCATGGTTTTTGCATTTTGTATTAAAAACTTTGCTTTTGGATGAGTTCATTACAGTTTTAGTTACCCTTTAGCTCTCAGCACACCTGTATTTGAAAACACTGTTGGTTTATAGTTTTAAGCACTAGATGCTTTCTACTCACCACACATAAGGTTGTAAACCTCTATGTTTTCAAAAGCATCCACTTCTGTTTTTTCTTTAAAGCTTGGGCCATATCCTAGGAATATAGCCTGGATTGTAATAAAACAAAAGTTGTTATGTAAAGAAACTCAAATTAAAAAGTAATTCAGTTGTACTTTATTTGAACAGGGACACTGTCATAAAAGTTACAAAACAGGATTGCTCTGATCAAGAAGGCAAATTTTGCCCATTGCATATAACTTGAAGAAGAATTGTTTTCTTATCTGTTTTTTTTTATTTCTTTCTTTAACATTTTCAGTTATATTTATGAAAATTATCTTTTGATGTGTTTCAAATTCACTCCTTTTCAATTTTTAATTCCAACAGCTGGTAAAAGTTATGCCATTTCAAGAAATGTAGAGTCATGGCACTCACACATCCCATTTAAAAGCTAACATCAAGCCAGAAATAAAAGGTTTGGTTTTGTGGTGTTTATTTGTTTTGTTTTGTTTGTTTAAACATATGTTACATTAGCAAAAGTCTTTGGGTAGCTTAGGTGCCTACAGCAAGCATCAGGGAACTAAGGAAACCCATCTCAAGCTTTGCAGAGACCTCAGGCAGTACCACCAATGGTACTGGGCAGCCCCTGCTGGGGTCTGCAAGCATTTTGACAGAGCACTAATACAACCTTCAGTCTCACATTAATTTCTGTTAATTTATAAGCCTCCTGAACTGCTTGCCATGAAACACTGGGAAAATGACTAAACAGGACAACAATTTATTTTAAAATAATATTCCTACGTTCTCATAATAGGAAAAGAATCCTAAATTTATTTTAAAATACAACATTAAGACATCACTATTTTGAAAAATCATGTTTACTCAATTACTGTATCACCACTGTAAGACTATCTATGATTACTGTTTCCAGAATTTAAACTTTTTTACCATGCAAACATTGAGCACTGTTCTTATTGGTATATAAATGTGATTTTAATAAAGTTGTGAATATCTGGAAGACTCTGGTTACTATGCACAGAATACAGGCATGCTCAACCTTGCTTAAAGAAAGTACATTAAGAAATGTATCCTCTGGATCTCAAAAGCTCAAGACTCTGACATTTTTTCACTGTAACCAGAAGTGAAAATGAGAAAAAACTTCAGTACAAGCTACACTAATACACAAGTTACACAAAAATGACTTCTTTTGTTCTGATAACATGTGTAGGGCTTGCAAGACAAGCAGAAAAAATTAGATTACTCTAATTTGAGCATGCAGGCCTTCAGATGCTCTACTGAATTCCCAGAGCTTATGGAGCTTTTTCAGTCTTTGCTTACGTAGAAAAGGAAAGAATTTATTGTTCCATATCTGAACACAGATGCTTGATTTAATAGCTCTATGGAGTTAAGGTGAGACAAAATAAGTTTTACTACAGGGTCCAAAGCGCCAAGACATGTACACATTGATGAAAAGCAATAGAAATCTGTGTATCTAGTATGTGTTCACAGTTTACAGGTCTGGATGACATATAAGAAAAAGCACACTGCAAAAAGTGACACATATTATCCTGGTTCATCTAGCACATTCTGATTTTCTATATGAGAAGATGCAAGAGCTGAAAATCAAAATCATCTTACCTCCATACTTTTAAATTCATTGTCATAACCATGGTTACCCTGATCACAAAATGTGTAACTGTTGTCCCTAAGGAGAAACCATCATACACTGTAAATTAAAATGGCATAAATAAGGTCAGCTAATAATTATCAACCCGAGTCACAGACCCTGTATAATGTTATTACAACTGACTCTGAAATAGTATTGCACTGCTTTTGCTCATCCTGTGCTCAAGCCTACATAGATCTCTCTGTCTGGTAATGCAGATTGTGATGAAAAGAAACATAGTGTATCCTATACAGCTACTGAATCAATGTTTTTTTTAAAAAAAAGAAGAAATGCTCATTTTTGAACTGAGACCTTTTCTTATGATGACTAACACTTGCTTAAATTTACCTGTTGCTGAGATACATGGAAAAATAAAGAGACAGTCATTCTATATTGATTCAACACTCTTGTCATGCCCATGTATCCTGTTTTCAGAGGCACCAGGACATCGGTGAAAAGTTGAATATGAGGGAAGTATTAGTGAGAGAAATGAAAAGGAAAAAAGCATGACGATAAAGATGATGATACCTCACAGCCAGCCACTGTTGATCCACCAGAAGATGAACTTTATCAATACGAATGTTGTTAGCATAATGAAGTCGTTTCGGCAAGTTAGGTGTCAGATAGGGCTTAAAGTGTTGAGGTGACCTTTTGCACTGTATGACAGAAGAAAATCTAGTAGTGAATTTCATGCAGTGTCAAAAATACACCATAAATCATTCATTATTATCACAAACATCCTAGTGACAGGAATATAAGTACAAAACATATTATTTGGAGTGTGCTTCTTCAATAACCTGCAGATCCCATTTCTGGCCCAAGAGGCAACAGAATGAAAAGTGACTTATTTTGGAACTGAAATACATTACTATAATATTTATTTATAATATTTATTGCTATAACAGTTAGCATACCAATACTGTGGTAAAGGTAATACTAAGACTGAAAGACAGTTAGTGGTAATGCTTACTCTATATGTCTGTACTAATGCCACTGGCATTTGGTATGTAAGTTCACAACCTACAGGAGAATGTTTCCTAGCAGCTAATGATTTTCTGCCATCTTCTATTACTACACCATTCAATAAATAGCAAAGAAAACCAAGTATGCATAACACATACAGTCTAGAGTTTTAGCTGCAAGATTGAACAGGTGATGTCTAGTGCTCAGTTGTTAGATGAAGACTTTTACATCCACATTTAATGTGTTAATATAACTGCTGTGTTAAGAGGCATGCCACTGTGAGTCTACTGACAGCAAAACAACATGCTGCAATGATTTAACTGTATATGGTCATTAGGAACCACTCCAGCTGCCAGAAATCATCATAGTGATGTTTCAGAGACATCAATCCAGTTCACTAATCCAGCACTGGGGCAACACTGAACAGTGAAAACATCAAGTGAAGAGCTGCTAGCAAGTTGTTTAAGCCAGAGAAATTGACATATTTTATTCCACGGACGATACATAAGACTACAGCATGCTTGGACTCTGATCTGACATCTTCACCTTTAAGTCCTAGAATTGTATGCTCTGCGTAGAAGGACATCATTGTGTGAAATGAAAGTAAATGTCCCTAATAGTAAACTAAGAAACATAGTGGGAAATGAAAAATAAGGATTCAGCAATTCTGTTTGCTCAGAAGAGATCATTCTGCAAACAATACTCTAATTAAAGAGAAAAAATTGAGGGAAATGACTTCAGCAATATACAATACACAATTTCCTTCTCTGTCCAAAACCTTCCTCCTAACAACTTGAAAGAAAAAAAATACACAAGCAGTAAGTATGAACTGACAAGGGAAGAGGAAATCTCCTCATACCAGGTTATTCCTAGAAGACAGAGATGTTACACCTCTCTTCATAACTAATAATGGTAGCAGTTTCAACAAGGGAAGAGAATATGCAGAATCTGCAGTTGCCTTTAGAGAATTCTCTTTGGTACGAAATGTTCCAGGTCAGTGGGTTAGACAATGCAACACTGAAAAGGCTCCTTCTCAACCTCTGATATTCTACTTCCATGCGTCCTTGTATGCTGAGGAACAAAGGGTGTGTTCTAAGGTATTCAGAATCAATAAGTATTTAACCAGGAAAGTTTACTGCTCTTTGGACTTCATGTGGCTCACAAAAGCTACAGGTAGCATACTTTCAGCATTCAGTTTTTCAGCAGGTTACAGGAAGACATCTAGTGGTGCTTCATCAGAAATATACCCAGCTGAGATAGCCTAGTATTCTTGCAAGCTGAGTAGTTTTTCTAAAAGCATCAGAACGTCTGCCTACTGTTTGGACTAGGACTAGTCACAAAATAGAAAACAAATTGGCACCAAAGGAAAGAAAAGATGGAGAGTTGTTTTTATGCTTAACTCACTGTAAATGATAAATGTAAAGAAATAAAAGGCACCAAGTTTCTCAAATGAGTCCCAGTTTGTACATCACACTCACCCCACATGTATTAATGTACATCTTGAACTAACAAAAAAAAAAAAAAAAAAAAAGTGACTACTAGGAAAAAGTATTAAAATATTTACTTACTGTGAGGTTTTTAACAATTCCTTCTGAGTCAACTGTTACAAAGGAAAGATGAATTGATATACATTAAGATAGTTCAGCATGGTTTAGCGCATTCACTTTTCACATTTTAGAAGAGCAACTTCAGTTATAAACATCAGCTTTCTGAGAAACGAATCTGGACACTTTACAAAGGAAAATTCTTTCAGAAAGAGTAAGACCACTAGTAGAAATGATTCAACAATTATAAGGAGATTGTCACATTAAAAAAACAACATTATTCACTCCACTGGACTACTCAGAATACCTTGTTCCTGTCTGACTTAGACTGCGATTTATGCCAAGGAAAGTCTGCTTTATGTTAACTTATTTCCTGTCGTACTGCTTGTGCAATCCCAGGATTGGTCCACACTTACAAGTATAATAGTTCTGTGGAACGATGCGTGCTCGAATGCGAGCTGCAGGCCCAGCATATATGTAGAAATTAATCTCACTGAAGTAATTTGTCATGTATTCTAATTGGCTGCAGTAGGTCATATCCATCCCTAAAGAATACAGAAACAGTTATTTTTCTAGATAAAGTGAATTATAAAATTAACTTAAAGTAATAAGTACATATATTATACAGCAAAAGAAAACAATGACTCAGTGAAGAGAAACACTGAGAAACAAAATGATATACATTACCATGATCAGCTAAAACAATGAGGTTTACACAGTTGTGAAGGTTTCTCTGTTTAAGCCCCTCCATTAGCATTCCCAGCGTTTGATCTGCTAGCTGTAAAGCTTTGATTACCTGTAAGAGAAACAAGCTTCCTTAGAACCTTTCCTTTTTACTGATTAAAAGTTATCACTTAATGCAAACATGAAAGACTGAAAAAAGCATGTTTTTCTGTTAGCTTTCATGTTCTTAATATTGCTTCCTTTCTTTTGCTCCAGTGCAATTTGCCATCCCTACTAGAGTACAGGTGTGCCCGCTACTCTACCACAGGATTTCCTATACTAAATACTTTTTTTTTTTTTTTTAAATCTATTAAGTTTTTTTCTATTGTCTTGACTTTAAAATTTGTTAACTGAAAAAAAAGTTACACATTAAGATCAAATTTTCAATTTATATAAAATGTGATATTTATAGCATTGCACGTAATTTTTTGTAATATCACGATGCCACTGTATTATCAGTAAGAGGCATTTTGAAAATATTTACATACACATGTTACTTATTAGACCAGTGCGGCATTTAAGTCACTTAAGTCCCTTTAAGCTTCCTGCAGAATATCACCGGCAACCACTGAAGTGACATGTGAGAAATTTAGCACAATCCACCTTGCAGAACTTCACAGCGAATGGCTCTTCTCTAACTGACTGGCACAGCTGATTTATTGTCTTCTTTGAAGTGCGAGCAGTAAGGACAAGATCTGACTGAGCCTGAGCATTTGCATGCCTTTTGTTCCCCTAGCTGCACTCTCGAATTTCTTGCATGCACGGACAATACACACACATATACAAGTACGCATGCAGTCACAGATTGTGTGCCTTTTGTGGACAAAGAGAAATTCACTTCACTTTCTAATTTAGACAGACTAAAACTATCCTACAAAGATGAGTTTTTTCATCCCTGTCCACCACAACAAGGCCCTCTGTGGAAGACTATTTTCAAAGATATTGCACAAAATCATTCCAGGAGGGAGCTGTTACAGTAAATCCTAGGCTCCTTAAAGATGTAATATCTTCTGTGCATGCAAGTAAAAAGGAAACATTGCAAAACAAGAAACATTGAAGTAGAGTATAGAAAGTAAACAGAAGACAGTTCTGGGAATTTGCTAGGCTACACGCTTCCAAATATCCCTTGCTGATAAAATTCAAGTTCAGTTTAAATACGTGCAGCTTGAAACTTAATATTATTTCTAACAGCATGTTCAGCAATGATTTTCTGCCAGTCTCTTATGATTTCAGCAGTGTGTATGAGCCAAAGTAGCTGTAATCCAAACAGCACGCTCAATCACAAGCAAGAATATAATGGAATGAAAACTCATATAAGAATTGTGGTAATTTTTGATCTAGTATCTTTTCCAAGTTGATAAATTGAATAAGTTCTTAGTACTCATCCATTTTTAGTGATATTTAGTCTAGTAAAAACAAAAAAGCTACTTACACCACCGCTAACTGGTCCAAATGAATGTCCAGAAGTATCTGGTTCTTCAATATACAAAGTGTAGAAATCAGGCCTTGAGTTACAAATAAATAAAAAAGGAATATTGTGAAAACTTGGAGACATAATTACAAAAGAATACTTTCATTTTAAAAAGAAATGAAAGGAAATATGTACAGAATTGTAAATAAATACAATTTACTTAACAACAGCAACAAAAACCAGACAGCAAATACAGTCATCTACATTACTGTGAGTTTTGTAGTTAACCAACATGAATTATTTGAAATTACATTTTCAGAAACTGTATCCAGTATCTATAATAGAATCCAGAAAACACTCCCTAGAACTTCAAAATCTTAGAAGAGAAAAATCAAGCTGTTCCTTGGGATATAAATGGGAACTACCACCAAAATTACCTCAATCTGCTTAAGTGATGAGGCTCTAGAGAGTACCTCCTAACTGCATACATAAGAGAAATCTGGTAACAAATCATGATATAAAAGATTTCACTTGTTTACATATCATATGGTAGTTTATCACTCCAAATATAAAAAGCAGTGATTCCTCATCTGATGTTATTTCATTTAACTTGTGCAACAGGCTGTACTTATAGAAAAGGCTTAAGTTCAGCAAATTCTCATTTGAGATAGTGAGGAAGATTCCACGTTTCACAAATACCAACAGAAAGCTCAGCTGCCAAGTATTAAAATCCTTCCAAGCTGTATTCTTACAAACCATTGGAATACTGCTGTTACCTCTCAGATTTGGTTTTATCAAGCCATTTTAGTATTCCTGAAATTCTCTCTTCATATGCAACTGAGCTGAAAAAAAAAAAAAAAAGTATATCAACAAGTCCTTTCTGATTTTCCCTTCTAATTTCAAAGAACATATATACAGAGCACACCCTGTATGGTAAAGACAATGACTTGGATTGCAAGAATGATGTATCACATTAATATACCAGTAATCAGTTTTATTATTTTCATTTTTGATTGAATGTAATGCATTCTTAATGATAAAACAGATAGACCCTGATATTGAAAACAGAAATACGGGTGGGATTATTTATATGTTTAAAAGTAAATGCATGCAAAAAAGGAGCTTTCAAGTTCAGAAAAACCTGAAATACAAGTCACACTCTTTTTTCATTCTTTCCACCACGTCTAGACCTTGGACTTTCATATTTTAAAAGCAAGCAATGTCTCCACAAAAATCTTCATGAGGTCATGCTCTCTTTCCTGTGAATGAGTTTTACTCATTTAATACCTCTACTTTTCCACAAAGTCATGCACAAGCTTCATGTTAATAAACTATGGTACTCAGTTGTTTTCTGAGTACCAATCCTAGATATCACAGCCAAACATTTGTTATCTGTTAATACTTATAATTACATGCTTACTTTAGATTTACTTAGTAATTATGAAGAATCATCATTTACTGAAATAACTATAAAACTTTTGAAATCATTTGCTGGTATCAACATCTTCCACAAGAAAAAAGATTACTATGAAGGTTATTATTGTATTTTCATGCATGTAACCTGAGAATTAGCAGCAATGTGCACTTTATCATACTTTCAAGCAAAATCAGAGGGAATTTGTCTACAGCCCACCTTCCTTCAGTAGCTTCTCAATGCAGAGGTCTTACTTCAACAAGTTTCTGCCTTCTATAGGCTCACGCCAGTGCTTCTGAGTTACTTAGGGTTTAAGTTAGTGGAAGGCTTATTCTCAAGTAGGAGAACTTGTGAAGGATATTATAGATAGATACAGATATTATGTGGGAATTTTTTGTGTTAAAATGTGGCAGTTTTTATAATAACACAGAAGTGGTTACGTCATAGGAAGGCTTCCTAGTGGGAAATTAGTGGTTTCCAGTTGGCTGGAACATTTAAAACTGTCTCAGGGGATAACACACATACAATAACCTTTGCCTTTCTTATTGTGAATAGCCTAAAATTTAACTGTTAATGGTAGTTCCATGGTAAAATCATAACTATGTAACAGGGAACTTGTCACTCAGACTGGTGTTTAAAAAAATCTTGTTCTTTATTTCCTTCAGCTGTTATATGGCATTTTGAATTTTTGTAGTAATTTAAGGCAATTTACCATAATCCTGATAAAAACTTACCCGTTGAATAAATAGAAAAAGTTGGGGTATGTACCATTAATTGGAACATCAGAGCCTGGCCAGAAGAAGGTGCCTGCTTTCAGACCTTGGTACATTGCTGTCAGCCATATCTATGGATAAAGATACAAACAAACAATTTTATGGCATTAACACTGCTGGAGGATCTCAGATGACCAGAGTCAAAATACTGAAATGGCTTAGGAATGTGGCCTACAAGAATACTTTTCCCTTTCTTCTTTCATATATCATGCTGCTGACCAACAAACACATCTGATTTGAAGTTTGTTTCTTACATACATAGTCTGAAAAAAAAACTGTAGCACAGGAGGCAACATGTTGCCATTTGTTGGGAATTCTCAGTGTAGAAATGATGTCATATAGATATTTTCATAGGTGACAACAGGCAGTGAGTGACCTTTTATCCAATGACACATTCGGTGGAGTGGATAAGTGAATCCACTGCAATGGATTGTGATCATGGAAGATATGATTTCCAGTGATATGATTTTATTGTAAAAAGGTGTATTCCTATTCATCTCACAGAGCCCAGCTACAGTTCTGTTAGGAGCCTGACTGAATCCTTCAGGAAACAGTAGCAGTAAAACCTGGCCACTACAATATATTAGAAACATCACCACACAGATAATATATATAAGTATATATAGAGACTATAAGTGGATATATATATTTAACTCTCTCTTTCTGTCCCTATATATATACACATATATATGTATGTATATTAAACAGATACGTTAAGCAGATACTACGTGTTGATATTTTTTCCATTTTTGTACTGCTTGATATTTCTAGTAAATGAATAGCATTATAATCACAGGTGCTTCTTCGATGAAATGGGCCGAAATTTACACATAAATACTCATTTTGATGGAAATGAAGTTCTTGGTTATTCTGTCCCTTTCTTTTACATGCCTGGACATTGAAACACTTTTGTTATGTTGCTTTTGTTGCTGTTTGTTTGTTTTATAAAATGATGTATTCTGGAAGTAGATTTGTAGATTTCATTCTTTAGATAATTGTCAAAAAATAACCAAACTCCACACAAACCCTATCAAACTTACTGAGTTTTTCAATATTTGGCAGCAAAGAACTCCAAATTTGCAGATATTCTGTTCTAAAACCATCCATTATGAAAAGGATAAGTGCTGGTTTAAGTTTCAATGTTAACATTTTAGGAGTTCCTCGATCTTTACAAAAAGTGAACTGTTTCATAGTCAGCCTACAATATGAAGGCTACATGACATTTACCGTGTACTGCAAATATATCACACAACTTTGCATTTTGTTCTCTTTTTGTTTTATTTAACAACATGGCATATGAGCCACTAGACATAGAGATATAACATAAATAGAAGTAAACTTACTGGCTGACCCTTCCACCATGAAGGCTCAAATTTTTCTGTGCTTGAAAGTGAGAAATGCTTGTTCAAATCTACATCATAAATGTTGTTATCAATAATACCATGAGATTCTGGATACAATCCCTGCAAAATGAAAAGAAACAAGTAAAAACCTATGAACCTATGAACCTATGATCTTAAATTACGTTGCAATGTGGTGTTACAATTATTTTATGGCTGTTTTATCACAGAAACAGAACATAATTTATAATTCCCATAGAATATCACATTCCTACTAGTGAATTCAGTGTTCTGAATTCACTAGTAGTGTCCTTTCAAGTTCTCTTTTAGTTTCCCTGTCGTCTTCACAGCCCAATTAAAACCTGATCTGCTGCAGATTAAGTCCCATGGCCATGTATCAGCTGCCAAACCTATCCCAGCAAGACACTCATCAAATGGCAGTGCCCTCATCCATACTCATCTGTATACACTTAGAATGGCAAGGGCCAGGAATAACTGGTTCACAGACCAGAATATGGTAACATACAGACGTAACCACATAGCCAATATTTATTTCCCTATACACAGTATCTGTCCCTTACTTCTGTATCTTGACTTCTCATGTTGTTAGTCATTAGATGAGTTAATTCCCTGACACCACAGGATTCTTTCTGTGTTGTCTAGATAAAGACAAGTAAAAATAACAAACTCTCACTTACTGTGACAATAGTATAGTGGTTTGGAAATGTTTTTGTGGGGTAAGCAGCTCTCATGTATTTTGAATGTGTGCCACATGTTTCTGCAAAAGATAACAATTCTTATAGATTTGAATATATCTATTCAAATCTAAATATATATTCAAATTGAAAACTAACAGTTTTAAAGACAGGAAAAAATTACAACAGTTAATTGCTGATTTGCTATGCTATTAGAGAGGAAATCTGACTTCAAACTATGACACATACATTCTCATGTTTCCTTGTAAGGTAGGTCTACACTGTGATTACCTTCATGGTGTATATATTCTGTAACAACTTGCTTAATTACCTCCACCAAAAATGCAAGCTTAGGTTGGTAGAGAGGGAAAATTTTATGTTACAAATCAGCTTTACAGTCTTCCTTTCACAAAGAAAGGAATTCCTCTTTACTACTCCCTGTAGATCCAGAGAGTGACCTTTAAAAGAGCATCTTTGAGGGACACTTCCCAAAAACCCAATGCAGTCCTTCCTTATCAGTAGGAAGTTTTAATAGAGTACAGAGAATGAATGAAATCCAGCTCTGGAACTATTTTGCAGCTTTAAAATGTATTTGAATATATGCTTCAAATTACTTGTGTAATAAAAAGCTGCAGGCCAATATTAATTGCCTTTAAAAAAAAACAAAAAAGCTATGTTTGCTGTGCATTCAGATACAAGAATTAATGTAGAATATGAAATACTGTAAGTATACAACTGATGATAGAGACCTGATTTGGGATCTTATTGTTGAGAAACAGTTGTGAACAACATAGCAGCAAAAGGAACTAGAAAGGCTATATGCAGACTTCTAAAGAAAACACTCAAAGCACTCCGGGTAACTTACTGAGTTTTTCAATATTTGGCAGCAAAGAACTCCATGTTTGCAGATATTCTGCTCTAAAACCATCCATTGAGAAAAGGATAAGTGGTGGCAGATCAAATCTGCAAGAAAATATCACTTTTTGATCATTAAGGAGTTTGGCAAATGAAGACTTGTTAAAGTCATTAACTGCAATATATAAATTCTGTTTTTTATAAGCAGGATCTAGAACACCCATATACTTTCCAGAGTTAATATCATGGTGAGAGATAAACAAATAGTACAAATGCACAATTCTCCTGAAAAGAAAACAGCCGAGGAATAAAATAAAAGCTACTCAGTAAGTATAGAACCTAAGAAAATAAGTTGTTTGGTTCTTTTTCATCTTTTAATTACAAACATAAATCTACAGACTAGGATCCAAATTCAAGCCCAGAGTATAGGACAACCAAAGCACCTCTGAACATACTAATGAGTTGGATTCTGTCTCTTGTCTCTTTATGCATCTCAGGACAGCTGCACAAAGGACTGTGAAAACACAGCAATCACAGCAAGGCTCCGGTGGCTTCAGGGGGAATGTAATCTCCTTGAGATACCAGGTTTGAGGTAATCTCTTGCCTTACAGCATTTGCTATGTGAAAACATTATCGAGTAGTTCAAGTTCTTTGTGGTTTAAATCTTTCAACCTTCCCAACCCTCACTGAACACTTTCTCACCCTAAGTGCAATGACAAATTGCACTAAAAGCTACAAGAATGCAGCTACCCATGACTTTATTAAGACATTATGTAAAGAATAAAGATTAAAAAGCATCAGATCTTAGCTCAGATGACAGGTAGATAAAAAGTGCAGAAATAGGAAATTATCTCCTGAACAGTCTTTCGATTTTTGCTGTAAAAATTCTAATTAGGAAGTGCTACTTGTGAAAAAACCTAAGTTATTAAAAATACTATCTTCTAACCAGTCTGAAAGGACTCAAAAATACATTAGCAGATATAAAATGATAGTGTTATAGTATTTTTCTTCATAATTTGAAGAGAAAATATTCTGTAGGATCAAGTAGTCAAGTTTTGTGACAGTCTATTAACCATCATTATATGTTGCAAGGTCACATTAGCAACATATAAAGACTATCATTAAATGAGAAATGTAGTTTGAAATAGATTCCACTGTACAAAATACCTCAAAAAAGCCCAACTAATTGTAATTCATCAGAAAGGTTTGAAGATTTGCTATATAAACCTGGAAAACACTGAGAGAGAATAACTATTAATTAAATGCAGTGACTCCGCATGAATTGTTTTGAGTAATTCCTTGAATTATAACAAAAAAAAAAAAAAAAAAAATTAAAAGAAAGAAAAAAAGTTGCATTTTCACAATATCACAAGAAACAAAACTGGGACAATAATTGTCCCAGTTATTTTCTCATTCACAGTGCTCTTTTCAAAACAGTAAAGCACATTGGCATCAACAGTATGTATAAAAAACACTGAATAAAGCAGCTTCTTGAGTGGAGTCTGAACCAAAATGGAGCTCCATATAGCAATGTTCATGGCATGTAAGACTTTCTCCACACAAAGCTTTTAAGCTCTTGCCTATGAAACTGTGAACTCGAGAAGTTATTTGTTAACTAATAACTTAGAAGTGCATTTTTGTATTGCTCTGGGAGGTGCATGCAGGAACACTTGAACTTTAGAAAGAAGATACACTACTAAAGGTATTATTGCTATAATATGGTGTGCCAGTAAAATAGATAACGAGGATAACATCAAAAATACTGTAACTGAACCAGAAAATAATCCATTTTATTTTGAGAACAACTTTTACACTATGTTTCTGGCTAACCTATACCTAAGATGTCCATCTGTAGGTAAATATCTATACAAAATAACTAAAAGTGAGCATCAAATCTTCTGTGTTCCAGCTTTTGCAGACATAATGATACATTTACAGCTTCCTTTTTATCTATACTATCAGAGATACTATGTCAGCAACCTTAAATGGACCATGAACAATTTGTGCTACGTGAATCCTGAATTAACTCTAATAGTTTTTCCAGGTCTTTGCAGAATGACTTACGATCTGGATTCAAACTCCTGTACTCTGTTCTACCTTGTAAATGATAAATGAATCTGCAACAAAATGACAAAGGTTTTAGAAAGAAAAAACATTACTAGCCACATTCCACTTCTACAGAACATCCCTATGGACAGGACCTTGTTCTAAGTAAACTTCATGTTTTTCTAACCTCTTAAAAACCTCCTTCAGCTGACTGACTATTTCTGAGCATCATGTTTTTATTTGTTAAAGAGATTTTTAAAATTATCCTACCCAGCTGGACACTGAGGAGTTTCAAGTGAAATACATGGTTCTTCTACCCAAGGTATTTCACCTAAGAGGACAAAAGAAAGTATTGAGTTAGCATTAAAAAAAATAATAATACAAACAAATAGAACAAAGAAGTTTCCTGGATGATCCTTTTAGAGAACTTCCTGGAATTTCTTCTATTTCAATACAGAAATAATGTAAATTAGGGCTAAAATATCTTTAGAAATCATTTAATTCAACATATTAGGCCTTGGAACACTGAGTATACAAATAAGATGGAGGAGAAATAACTATGAAAGCTTAACCTGTATGTTTTAACTATCTTAAAATGGAGAATACTTAACTTGTATTCAGGATACACACTGGAATACTGCTTTCTTTTTTTGCAGATTCCACTTACACATTTAGTGATGACTACCAGGGCTTTCATTAGCTTTTCCCCCACCTTTGTTTAAAGAACACAGGTTCTTCAGCCTTCCAAGGACACTGGCTTCTGCCTTTCAAGTCACTGTTCTGTTTTCTCATGAATATTCTCCACCTGCTTCACATCTACACTCACTCATAATAACAATCCGCCCACCTCTTTGGAATAAATAAGAGATGTTAATAAGAGAAGAAATAAGAAACACGGGGGAAAAAATGAAATATATATATATAAAAGAAGCAGTGCCTGTCAAAGTTTTTAGCTTAACACAGAGAGTTTATCTCCCAGTAAGCAGACAAAGGTGGGAATGTACAGTCATTTTAACCAGGTCAGCACTTGCTACTCAAACAAATTAGCATTTAATCGAACTCTTGACTATTTTTAGTTTCTCTTTGCATTTAGGTGACAAATATACATAGGTCATTCTGAAAGTAATACCTCCTACTTATTTCCACTGATATAACGACCCACAATAACTTTTTGTGATAAAGACAATTTTCAGCTTCAAAAAATTATTTTTCAACAGTCACCACCATTATCTATGCATTTTTGCCAGTGATAAACAAGAGCCTGCATGCTGAGTTCATAAAAATTTACAGAAGCAGAGGTGACCCACTGTTTCACAGCTGCTATGACAGTGTCATTGCCAGGAAAATGTTGCCTACTCAATCCATCTTTTAACAGCCCAAACAAATGAAATCAGAGTGCACCAAATCCAGACTATATTGTATGTGTAGTAGGACAGTCCACCTAAGACTGCCAATGTGCTCCATGGACTTCAAACTGACTTGAGGCCTGACATTATCATGTTACAAGAGAAAGGTGGTCTTCTTCTCTGGCCTGACTCTGGAAGTTTGAGTCTTCAGCTTAGCCAGAATTATGGTGTAAAGTTCAGAACTGAAGGTTTGTCCGGGTTCCAGGAGATCCAGAAGGATTATGCTCTTTCCTATCCCAAAAGACAGTGCACATCACTGTACCCAGAGAGGACTGCATCTTGAACTTTTCTTTGAGGAGGAATTCATGTCACCACTCCATGGACCACCATTCTGACTCTGTCTTGTAGTGGTGACACCGTGTCTTAACACTTGGTAATTATACAACCCCAGAAACTGTTACCAACTGCCTCATATTGGTTCAATTGGTCCTGAAAAACTTGCATATGGCATTCTTTCAGCTCCTGTACAAGCATTTGTGGGAGTTTAGTACAAACTTTGTGATACTCTAATGTTGCCACTATCATTTCCAATGCACTGAAACTAATATTCAGCTCCCTGGTAATTCACCAACTCATACAGATGAGCTAATTGAGACACTCTTCATTTCATGATGTGACAGCTGTGCATGGCCATTTGGAATGTGGCTTGTTTTTCAGATCACTGTTGCCATTGCAGAAACATGCCACTCACAGCCTCACTGTACTCACATTACTGCTTGGTCTAAATGCAAACATTTAGGAATTAATAAGCAGCAGGAGGCTGAACAGGATGGGGAGAGGAATATCAGAACTTGCACAAAAAGGTAACTGATCTAGGTGTTCCTGCTCTGGCAAAGGGATTGGACAAGATGACCTTTCAAGGTCCTTTCCAATCCCTGATATTCTGTGATTCTGTGAAGTATCGATGAATGTCAATGGGTGCCATTTTTTCCACATGGAAGAATTCAGTAACACACCTTTGCTTCATACTTCAGACTGCCCCTCTGCTGCCATCTGTCACATGGCAACAAAACATAATGGGACATTGGTGGGAAGGTTCAACTTCTACTGCCATACCACCAACATCCACCTCTGCTGTCATAGGCCAACATACTAAAACAGGGGGCGTTACTTTCATAAAAGCTCTCACTATATTGCAGAAGCTGCCTGAAGTCTCTGCCATCTAAACATATGCAGGAATTCTGACAACAGATGTATACTTTAAGTCAGCAGTATACTCTGCAGATGTCATTCCTATAATCAAATTTACCAATATGTTATACAGGGTCTGTATGACACAACCTGGTATGTTCAAAGATATTCAGTTAAGAAATCCAATCTGAAAATCAATTTTCAATAAAATGAATGGGAAATTTTAATTAAATATCTTCAGATTCCAGGGAGTTTGAAGCAAAAAAACATGTATTCAACTATTTTTGAAAATAAAATCCAAACAACCACAACCACCAAATTTGCGTTGCTCCTACAACATTCTTATGAATGACACACATCTCATATTTCTCTCCAAAAATCCTCTTCTCCCAAGTCAGACATATCATTTTGTTTCATTTCAAAACATCTTCATTTTCCAAAACGTAACTATAAGGCTCTAACTTTGAGAAACAAATATATCTACCTTCATATTTTCGGTGTTTGTCCAACTATTTATTTCACATGATCTTTGATTTACCTTTGCAAACAGTATTGTAGTTTACACAGCAGTCATTTTCCTGCAAACAGTCATCAGAACAAGAACAATAACTTCCAGGTAATCTTGTCTCACCGCAACGGAAATTAGTGCAACTCCAGGATCGAGCTGAAAAGTGGAAGAAAGAGATATTATTTGAGTCCCAGAACTTCATGTAAACTTGTGTTAAACTCATATTAACATCTCCTACCTGAGTAGCTTGACAGTTTTATCTGAGATGAAAACACAAGACTCCTTTTAACACATAAAGACCATTTTTGTTGCCACCAAATGGTAACAACAAATCATAGAATAAACCATTGTAGAAATGCATTCTCAAAGTCATCTTGTTCAATGCCTTCCACGCTTTTCCTGGAAGATCTCAACATAAATAAATAAATAAATCCATGGAAGAGAAAAAGAAAGTAGTAGATCTTTTTGTTCCCCTTCTATTGTGCACAATCTGTAGCAGAGAGCAAAAAGGCTCTAAGGAGGGCAGAAACAGGCAGAAAGTGACAAGGATGAAGAAAATCCCAAGCTGCTGCCAAGAGAGCATGCAGAGTAACTGGCAAAGAATCTAGATTTAATGCAGAAACAGATAAATTTCCTGGAGGAATACTGTAATCCTGATTCTGCTAATTATTCCTGAGTAATTCTCAGGCTTACATAAGGCCGAGAATACATTTCATGGGAAACACGCATTAATTTTCAAAAGGACAAGAGGTGCTGGCACACAAGCATCATTTCAGTCAACTGGTCAAAGAAAACCTGTGTTTCCATTCATCCATGACTTAATCTGGACCAGGAAACATTCACTGCAAATGCTCTGGTTATCCAAGGGAGTTGGCTGTGCTGTACTGCCGTGCTCTCTGCTACACTGCTTTATGCTCTAATGTGAAACCCATACAAATTACTTGAAGAAATATTTTTGCCTAAAAGGCACACATCTTCATAGCAAAGAAATGAGATAATTTGAAAGAGATCCAGAAAGATTTCTTGTCACGTAGGCTAAGGACTTCTAACAATCTGAATGCAGCATTCACTCAACGCCACTAACTTCCTCTCTCCCCAAATCATTGTGCGGCAAGCAAGCCTCAAAGCTTTTAATCAGACGTCTTTCCATATCCCTGTGCAAATAAGAGAATTGGTCTTTTTTCAGTCAGTACTATACAACAAAAGAAAACAGTATAGAAACCAATGAGCATTGCCTCTAAGGGAACATACTTGGCTCCACACAGGCATCTTCATAGTCCCAGCAGCAGTCCTGACGCTCCTCGCAGCTGCTATCACACTGGCAGCCTGCTACCTCTTTCCGATAGGGCTCGTTGCACTTGTGTCTGCAGCTGACTGCAACAAGAAGACAGGGACTCTTAGTGCCCAGGCTGCAAAACAGCCCTGTCCCAGCTGGATAAGCTAAACAGATTGTGGATTCAGACAGAAAAGGTGTTGAGTGATTTCCCAGAACAATATCCTGTGTCAGTTTCCACTGCAGTTGCTAGTACGCAGATTGGAGCGAGCAACACCAGAGCTGCAGGAGGTCTTTGAGATGCAAATGTCCTGGTTTTAGTTTCAAGTGTGCTCACCTAGAGTTTCTGTTACAGCTGTTTCTACATCTCAGCAACTGGTATCTCCCCAGCTTGTTGCTGAGTCCAGGACACAGAGAAACCCAGAGAGCTGGGGAAGGCTATAAGTTTTAGTACACTCAGGAACCTGACCATCTCCCTTCCACTTAGCTGGGACAAAGTGCCTAAAAATCCTGCAGGTTTGATTGTTTTGACTGAAAGAAAGAAAAGATCCAAAGGAAGGGCCTTACACAGGAAACTGAAATGTGCAATTAGTTCCTCACCACAGCTCTGATACCTCCATGCAGGGAGCAAGAGCTCTGATACATCCAAAGACAACTTTGAATCACAAAACACCACCTGAAGCTCCCCTTGAGTCATTAAGAGCCTTGCATCTGTGATCTCTGTACTGGAGAAGTAATGTCTGAAACAATCTAAGCATCCACATTTCCAGTTTTGTCACCCATCCACAGAATTACATAGAAATACATATAAATGCTTAGGCCTGCTAGTAGAATTCTGTAACGTTGCCAAAAGGTTTGTGTTTGTGCAAGGTGTGCTGCCTATAAAAATCAGGCGTTAATATCCACTGTGTATGAATCATGTGGAGCTAAGAACTTTCTTTTTTCAAGCTAGTCAGCTTTTTTCACATGTAGAAAGCTCTGAAGTCGCACTTTGTTCTTTACGTTCATACATCAACAATAACTGTCCACACGGCCAAGCTGTGCAAGTAATTAGAACAATGAACAAACACATGTAATGATCATAAATGGATATTTCAAGAGAAAGTACAAATGGAAAGAAGAAACTAACAGCAAATCATTTCATGGCTGGAACCTACTCTGCCAAGAAAAGCTGTGATTTTCCACCAATGTGCAGTTTTTCTTTGCTTTTAAACTGAAACTTAAAGTATTTAATTTAGTTTTTCCCCTATCCATTGGCTTTAAAACAGCTCAAAGTTGTTTAGGTCCTCTACCTGAATTAAAGTGATATAGAATACAGAATATGTATTTCAGAAGAAATATAAACCTTTTCCTCTGTCTGAAATATAACTGTTTATACTTCTAATAACCTGCAATCCATGCCTCTAATTTCTTCACTACATTTACAGAAATGTGTGAGTTCTGCAAATTTAGTATGGTATTAGTGTTAAAATTTAGTATGTCAGGAACTTTTATCTGGAATAGTCAGTGCAGTTATAGGAGTTATCAAGTTTACCTTGGGTAAACAGAATGAATTGTAATACATCACCAGATTGCATGTCTGTCTAACTGTACAGAGCAGTGGGCCACTACTCACCACTGACTCCTCTCAAGACTATAACCCCCCAAAATGCCTCTCAGCCACGACTCCCTTTGCCTCTGAACAGGGCCAATCTTTCCCTTTGTCCTCACAAGAAATGCAGCAGTACAGTCATGTACCACTCCAGGTTGAGGCTTCCCCTCTGACTCTGCCTTGTAGCACTGTGTGTCATTACTTCATCTTTCTGAAGTAGATCTGGTTATAAAGGTAGAAAACAAAGTTAGGCAGGCCCTATTTGGAATTCTCTGTAATGTCTGCAGAGACACCAAAATTTTCATTTTGCACCATCTTCCATTTCCCATTCACTTACTGCAACTGTGACCAAGTTCCTTAGGTAAATGTCAGTGAAGATTCACGTGGTAGGTATCTATGTATTTTACAGAGGAAGTAGTAGTACAATACACCTGTCATAAAAAATAATTACAGTTCCGTCTTGTTCAGCTAGGACTGAAAGATCTTCGAAAGAGTTAGAAGCTGATAAGTAAGTAGGTATAAAAGTTTGATATATGTTGATTAGAAATGAAAAAGATACTGTGCATCCTTGAACTCCTCCAGTATGAGACTGATATTGTCTTGACTCTGACGGAAGTGTTTCAATTCACCAGGTGATGTTTGTTTATCCTAATGTTGCTTGATTCCTTAATACGCTATTCTGCTTTTTTTTTAATTAAGTAATAACATTTCATCAAATCAAAACATCCCTTTTTACCATAGCATTCCATAAATATAAGTTTTCAAAAAAAATTTATGACAAATTTTAGCCACCTCAACTATGTCAAATGCACTCTAAGTATGAATGTTGACAGTGGTCACCATCTCTTCTACAAAACACATCGCTCAAATAATTGTAAAGTGTTACATATGACAAGATACATCCTATTTCAACTTTCATAGAAACACTAGTAAGACAAAATTTCCAAAGTTGTTGTGAAGCAGGTTTAACAATTGTAGAATGAGAAGTGAGACATGCAGTGGTTTAGGAGAGGTTTTTTCAAGCATAAATTATGTGCACAGGATTTATACAGTCCAACTCAAAAAATACAAGAATTTTAGGTGGCAACTTTTCACTGAATATTTATATTACATCACAAAAGAGCCTTCATTGAAAGCCTTTACCAGATCTAGCTTCAGTGGTAATTACACTAAAAGTATCATAAACATACCTTGCTCCTGGGCTCCACGGTTTAGTCCCAGTCCCAGACCTAGTCCCAGAGATACAACCACCAAAGCACTTAGCAGAACCTGCCGCATAGACACACAAAAAATCATAGTTCATAATAAGCTTTTATATTTACTAGAAATTATGATAGGAGAGGTGCAGAAACAATAATCTTGTGAACTGCTTGTAAGGCAACACCTAAATACTGCACCTACGGTTGGTCCCATCTTGTGACTGGGGAAGTCTTTGCAGGGGAAAAAATAGCAGGAAATAGCAAATACATTTATGTATTTTTCAAATTCTTGATCTATGCGAAGAGAAGGAAATCCCTATCTTTCACAAGCCAATATTCCTTTTTTATAGTTTCCATATTTTCCTGAGATGCCTACAGAGATTTCTTATAAAGCTCAGCTAGACTGAAGATGTATATACCAAATTTTCACCACAAGACATTTTCTCTTAATGGGTAAGACACTGTAATAGTGAGGTTAGAGGAAACAAGAAATATACAAGTAGTTGAAGAAAGTCACAACATCTGGGAGACTGGGAAAGCACTGTGGAAGCCTGTCGCAGCTTAACAGATATGCTGGCTGGAACAGCAAAAAAGGACAACCCTCTCAGACTGTATCACAATGCATCCACTTTTCAGTAAGGCAGTGATGGGAAAGAAAATGCTTCTCAGAGAAAAGCACCATCAAGCAATCTACTCTGTTTCCGGCTTTTGTCTCAGTTTACTTCTGTTTCCTGCTACTTCCAGCATCCACCAGGCATTACCAAATGGCTTAACTGCGACTATGGAAATTACAAAGAGCTGATAGAACCTACATGAGTGAGCAGGATATAAGCAAGCATAGATATGCCGTGTTGTTACTGTTTACCCATCTCTGCTCACAGTAGAACCCTGGGCTCATTGTGTCCCAACATCTCACCAACTGGCAGTGGTGTGGCCTCTGCTGAGGGTGTGTGTACATTTTGGGCGTAAAGCAGATCCAGTGGGACACATCCTAAGTACACACTATTCCTTCCCATGAACCGGGAAGATCACCCTTACTTGCTCCCTATTGCTCACTCCCTGTTTTTTGGAGAGGACAGTAGGAATGGAAATGGAATTGATAAGAGATCCAGATAAAAGAGACAGGTGGGAAAAGTGCTGTTGCTCAAAGCATTGGAAAAGGCAGGGTGAAATGTCTTGAAGAGATCCTTACCTGGACACAGCTGTGAAGGCCACAGTTCAGTGCCACATCCATCTAGGCAGGACTGACAATTAGGGGTCACATCTGGGCCAGAACACTTTCTACTTCTGGAGAGGGAGCATATTGCCCTTAGGGGACTGTCCTGGGTTTTGTTGTCTGAGTGCGGAACAGCCCCTGTGTTTTAGGGTGCTTCTCAGTTTATTCTTCCAAGTAACTCTTGAAAACACCATTTATTTTGTACTTTATTTAGGCATACTTCTGACACTGTCTCTCATGGTTAAATTATTTTTATTGCAGATTTAAAGAGAAAAATGCCTGTTTTCACTTCTTTTCCTCAGCTTCCAATATTTCTCTCATATATTATGCAATATTTACACAATGAAGCATTAGATAGGAAGTCATAGTATATGAATCTGTTTTCATGATATGATGATGAAAAGTGTCACAACTTGCCTCTCTTTTTCATATGTATACACTCAAGATTTGTTTCACTTGTGGTCAAAAACAGAAGCCAAAAATGTGTATCAGCTCAAAAAAAGGTCTCAAAAATGTATAAAAAGCCCTACATAGTATTATTTATAAGGCAGCTGTGTGACTCTCAATGCCTTGGGGAAGAGGGAAAGAACTGGCACGATACTTGAAATGTGAGGCTGACAACACCAGATGAAACAGTTCGTTCATCTTTTCCTATGCTTCAGAAGTGTTTTTCATCACTGCCTTTCCTACATACTCTTTTTTATTGATGATGAGTCTGAATGCACAAAAAATTAACCAAAAAGTAACTGGGGCTGCTTTGCCCACAGATTTAAACACATTGTAAACAAATATAGAAAACACTGCATTGAAACACCACCTACTGTGCAAACTGTCAGTTTATCATAGTAAAGCAAAAAGTGTACTTCACTGCCAGGAAAAAAAATTTTGACAGAGCTGAAGCCTCTTGATAAGTACCACAAGCACTTCAAAAATCTGCCAGAGAAGTTCATGCCTTCATGCTACAAAACTTCACCACTTATCACACTGCCCTGAATTATTAAATTAATATAAGGAAACCAGTAAAACTTCTGTGAATTTGAAAATTGCTAAAGCAATTCTTACAGATCTGAAAGGAAAAAAAGGAGTCGCTGCCCTGAAGAGCAGTGCCTACTTACACCACAGATGATCTTGTATCTCTGGAGTGTTTTTCTCTTCACATATTCCATTGGTTGTAAAATCTCCTCATCCAAATGTCCGCTTTGATGCATGCCAATTTCGCTGTTTGGATCCATTCCGCTGACGCCTGCTCTCAGCTGCACACACACTGTGCTTCTCTCGCTGCACAGCTGGCTTGGCTGCAACTGAGAGGCTGCTCGTGCTTCAAGTGTGTATGTACTTTGTTCACAGGACTTTATCGAAGTCCTAACTTTTGCACTGGTGATAGGCTTGCAGGATGCCAAAGTAAGCAGGAAAGCTACCAAGCAAGGTCAAAGGTTGAGAAGAAGCATTTGAGCACAGAGAACATCAGTCACATTTCAAGATAAAGATGGCATTAAATAAACTGTAGATTAGAAATAATATGTTGCTAAGCAGTATCTTGTGAATATGACTACTCGGGTATTTGGTTAAAAGGCCATCACAGAGTACTTGCTGCTTCCAAAGAAAGCAATACTTAAGCAGATGGTTTTATAGCTCCTGCTGTGGTCGCAACTATGCTTTGAGCTTCCTTCCTTTATTGTATGGGGCTTTGGGCAACCTGATCTGGTGGATGGCAAACTGCCCACGGCAGGGGTTTTGAACTGAATGGTCCCTGTGGATCAGGATGTAAGATTTAACATTGCATTGTACTTCTCCTCTTTCCCTTGCCCCAGCATGGATGTATCCAAGGGCTGCAGTCCCCTAAGGGGTGTACTTGTTGCAGCATGGAAGTACTCACAAGCCACACACCCTCTGACTTGAGGCACTGTAGCTCTAGCCTATCCAGTACAGCAGCACAGGAAGAACAGCACTGCCCTGACAATACACCATCCCAGGGGTGTAGCATTTGCTGTTATCAAAATGTTCCCAGGAACAGCAAAGTAAGTTGATAAGGCATAGAGCAAACAGCAACCACTATCACTGGACTCTAATATACTGCAAAGTAAACAAAACCCCTGGCAAGAACAGAAGCCTGCCAATTAATAGTTAGATCGCAGAAACACAGAATGACTGAGATTGGAAGGTACCACTTGGGATTATCTACTCCAACCTCCCTGCCTCAATCAGTGTCCTCTAGATCATATTGCCCAGGATCACACACAGGTGTGTTCTGAATACCTCTAGAGAAACAGACTCCACAGCCCCTCTTGGCAGCCTATTCAGGGCTTTGTTACTCTCACAGTGAAGTTTTTTCTTATGTGCAGATGGAACTTCCCGTATTTCAGGTTGAACCCCCTTGCCTCTTGTCCTGTTGCCTGGCACAACAGAAAACAGCTTGGCTCCATTCTATTGATACTCTTCCTTAAGATATTTGTACAGATTAATAAAATTCCCTCTCAGTCTTCTTTTTTCCAGGCTAAAGAGGCCTAAAAGAGGCCTAGCTCTCTCAGTCTTCCCTCATGAGAGAGATGCTCCAGCCCCTTAATCATCTCTGTAACCCCATGTTGGACTCACTGTAAGAGCTCCATGCTGTTTTCAACAGCTATAACAGCTACAAATTTGGTCTAGAACATCCCAATCAAATTTGTCGTTATCTTGAATGTTATCTAGCCCCATTCTGGATTCCAAAAAGTACTCTTGTGGGTTAACCCCAGTAGACAGCCAAGCCCCACTCCTTCCCAGTGGGATGGAGGGCAGAATAATAATGGCAAAAGGAAAAAAAGCTTTCAAGGTGAGTTAAAGGCAGTTTAGTAGGTAAAGGAAAGCTGCATGCACAAGCAGAGCACAACAAGGAATTTATTCACTACTTCCCATCAGCAGGCAGATGTTCAGGTAATTCCAGGAAAGAATGGTGTTATCACACCTGTATGGTACTTAAGGGTACTTAAGACTACAAAGAACTAGACAGGCTTTATTTATCTTTATTAATGAAAACACACCTTTATACTCATTCCTAGTCCATCTTCTAAAATGAATGGCATTCACATAGAGGGGAAAAAAAAAAAAGAAAGAAAAGAAGAAAAAGACAAAGCTTAATCATTTATCTCAAAAATATTTGTAGGTAATCAGTTTGAATAAAAAGGAAAAATTAGAAACTCACATCTAGAATGCAGAGATCCTGGAAAGGAAGCCAAAAGGGGAAGTTTCATATCCAAAAAGCACCATGTAGTCACATCTGTTGTTCTGAAACACCACAGCATGCTTTACTGCTGCCTACAGATTAATTTTATTAATAAAAAAGGTGAGAGTAATAATAATCTAGATCAAGCAATCAGGTGCCAAAAAAATGGGTTATCGAATAAGTGAATGCTAATATTACCTGGAAAAAAAAGAATACCTTATTCCTTTCTCTTTATTGTTCATTTATTTTGTAAACCATTTTAGCCTGGTCTTTCTCAATAGTAAAACCAGCAAAATAACATTATAAAAATAAATTATAGACCAATCCACTAGTTAGAATGGATATAAAAGTTTCTTACTGTACTTGTATAACAATTCTATAATGCTACTTGTGATAATGTTTGCTTACTTTTTAAAAATATTTAAAGTAATTTTGTAAAGTATTTCCTTTTAAGTCACTGGAATGAGAGGGTCATTTCTTTATCATGCTAATGTTTCTTTTCTTCCTTGTTTGGTAAAGCTTACAGGCCCTGTATTACCTAACACACAGAATTCTCCAGGGCTTCATTCCTTGCCAAAAACACCTGGGCATAATCCCAGCCCTTAAGATCTGTACAGTTCTTCCTCTTTGACATTTGGGTCCTCGACACAAGGCATTACTTAAAACTGAGTTGTTAAGTAACAGCCCTGGCTTGGGCCTCAGGGACTAGATTCTTTGCCATTGGTAGGATCATATGTATTGCAGTCTGACTAACATAAGATCTGGATGGATGAGCGTGGTGGTTTCACATCGATGGGCAGCTCAGCTCCACTTCCCACTCCTCAACAGAACAGGGGAGAAAATATGATGAAAAAAACTCATTACATGGCTAAGATAAGGACAGGCAGAACATTCACTGCTTACCATCACAGGGAAAACAGACTCAGCATAGGTAGATTAATATAATGTACTGCCTATTGAAAAGCAGAGCTTTTAGCAAACTAAAAACAAAACTAAAAAGACCCCTTCCATCCATTCTTTCTCCTTTCACAGAGAGGTACAAGGGAATTGGGAATGGAGGCTACAGTCACTCCATAATGTTTCATCTCTGCTTCTCCTTCATGGTCACTCTGCTTCTGCTCCAATGTGGGGTCCCTTCCACAGGATGCCATCCTTCCTCAACTAATCCCACATGCGCGTCCCACAGGCTGCAGTTCTTCAAGCACTGCTCCTACACATCTCCTTACCATGGTGCTCATTCTTCAAAGCAGACTACTCAAGTACAGGTCCCCACAGACAGCAGCTCCTTAAGCCCTCCTGCCCCATCAAGGACTCCTCCAACTCAGGCCCTACTCCTGTGGGGCTCTCTATGAAATATACCTCCTTCAGGTTTCATCCACTGCTATGCATAGGCTCCTCCATAGCTTCACCTGGAGACTAGCTTTGTGTGGTTCTTGTGGGCTGCAAGGAGACAGCTTACTCCACCATGGGCAACTATTGGGCTGCAGGGAACTGCTGCTCCAGCCTGGAGCACCTTGGATACCATAAATTGGTCTATCAAGAAACTCTCTAAAACTTAAACTGGAGTTTAGAAAGCTGGCGTTCTTTATTATAATCAGAGCTGGATGCATGGGTGTTGAGCTGCACCTGTAATGCATACCTTGCACAAAAGATCTTCAGCTTAAACACATTACTTGTGTTACATACACAGAGGTTTTCCCAGAGGTATGTACATATTCAGTATTTGCTTTCACAATGGATTCCAAGCAGAACTTCCTTATCTATTTGGTACAAAGACTTAACAGAACTCTCTTTATCTGTTTGGTACAAATACACAGACTCTTCCTGTTGTCTAAACAAACTATAGGGTCATCCATCAAGGGACTTACTGAGCATAACAATATCATTACAGTTTGCAGCACCTCCTGTCCTCCTGCACCAACCCTAGGGGCTCCTGGCTGTTTCTCTCACATTTCTTACTCACATCTCCCAGTTGCTGTTGTACAGCCTCTTTCCCATTTCTTCAGTTTGTTTTCCCATAGGGACACAGTGTTGCTTATGGCTGAGCTCTGCCCAGCAGCAGGTCCCTGATGGAACAGCTGGAGCTGGCTTTTATCTGATGTGAGGCAGCGCTGGTCCCTGCTCGCAGAGGACATCTCTGCAGTTCCTACTGCTTTGACACACGAACCCAATACAATGAGGGGTTAATTCATGAGCTATGTCGCCGCTGGGACATCTTAGGGAGTTGAGACTACCTTGTAATCCAATTTTAAGGATAAAAAGTGGGCTTGGTACATCTTAGGGCTGCAGCTGAAGGCATGGCTGGGAACTGCTGTTAGCCTGTGAGCTAGCAGTAAGGATCCTCAAGGCATAAGATGAACTACACCACCTCCCAAGGGCTCCATTTCCCATCCTGTGATGGGAATGGATTTTGAGTTTGACAAAGAATTGCAGCAGGTAACCCTCCCGAGTGCTACCACTTGGTAAAAGACCAGCCAGTCTGCCCACAGTGCACAGAAACGCTCCTACACGTTGCTCTGACAGAATTAACAGCAGTTTCGGTGCAGGGATGCAGATGCAGCGCGGAACCTCAAAGCCAGCAGTAACACAGCGACACGCAGTCACCCACTGCTCTGCGCGCAGGCGCTGCGCCCGCCCCGCCCCGCCCCGCCGGAACTCCGTGACAGCCGGAGGGAGAGAACTTCCGGCTGGAAGGGGCGCCCTGCGCCTCCGTATCCATCTAACGGAGGGCAGGCCGGTGGGACAATGGCGATGTCTATGGTGCCCATGGAAACGCAGCTGCAGAGCATCTTCGAAGAGGTGGTGGTGAGTGTGTCCCGGATGCGTCGCGGCCTTTCTGGGCTGCTCGGTTGGTATCCCGCAGCGGGACCTGCGCTTTTGGGTCGTGTGCGGCGATCGGCGGTGCCCCGGTGCGCGGTGCGGAAATGATTCCATAGAGCAGCTATTCCTCCTCTGCGCGGTTCTGTAAGGCGCTTGAGGCTGTGCGGAATGGAGCTGGGCATGAAGTAGGGGCAGCTTGCGAGGAGGAAGAAGCCATCTGAGCTGCGGGAGGAAGATGAACTTAGAAGGAGAAGAAGAGGAGCAGAGCCAGGAGTTATCTAATTAGCGAGGCAACCCCGTTGGCAGTTTCTTAGTAGATTTGG